GACTGCCAAACTTAGATCTTTAAAACTGCAACTTCCCCAGCCAGGCCTCCCAGGCCCTAAGCCCCTTAAGACCATAAACCTCAAGGTAGAATCCTCAGTCTGTCTGCCTCCTACAGTCCCATAAACTTTTTTTTTTCAAAGATTCATTTATTTATTCATACAGAACTGGGGTACAGGCCAGAGATGTGGAGGGTGAGAGGATTCACCAGAGAAAGAGCGGGGAGCAGAACAGGCAGATGGAGGAAGTACACTGCTGAGGGGAGCAGCGGGTGGGTCAGGAGAGGTCTGCCAGTGGTCGCCTCCGGGGCAGGCGGGAATCGAACTTATGCGGAAGTGGCTTTAGCTTCTTAATGCTGTGCTTTAACCCGCTGCGCCACCAGGGAGGGCCCAAACTTTTTAAAACTATCCCCCAGATTCCATTCACAAGTCCCTTGAACTTGATTCTTGAGACCCAAGAACCTAAGAACTGGGTGCTCAGAACTAGATTCATTCTTGATTCTTAAACCCCAGAACTCTCAGACCCAAGCTCTCTGAGCTGTGAACCCTAAACGGTCCCAGATCTTAGTTGAACACTAGGCCTTCAACCCCAAATACCCTTCACTAAGATCCCTGAGACTTGGGGTCTTAGGACTCACTGTATGGGCCCCAAAAACTTTAAAACCAGAGACAGAATTTTGTGGATCAACTCCTTGGCTCTAAACTTGCCCACAGTCTGCCAGAACCAAAGACCACAATTCTGACACCATCCATACATATTCCAGCCCCAGTTCCCCCTACACAGATATCACACCATCTTACCCATATTGGTAGGTAGCATCCCAAGGATGGTGGAGTTAGATTTGGAATTAAAGGACCATGATATCCAAGGCTCTGGCACTTATCAACTGTGTGTGACCTTGAATAAGTTATCCAAATCTCTAAGCCCCAATTCCCTGTCTGTAAAATGAGTGGGAACAAACATTACTAGTTGTTTTTTTCCCCTTAGTTCAGAGAACTAAAATTCATCACCCCTAAATGTCTACATGTCAGACAAGTTTTATGGTAACAGCACCATCAACCACCACCACCATTTGACATCACAGTGAGCACTCTAAAGGGTACCCTCTCCAGACCTTAAGTTTAATGGATTGTGGGGATCCCCAAGAGACCAAGCAGTCATGACAAACTGACTTAGGGGCCAAGATCCAGTGAAGAGAAAGGTAAAGAGGGAAACATGGAACTTCACGATTTAGTACTAAAACAATGAAAACTCTTCTGTGTCCCAAAGTGTTTAAAACAAAATCACATATCATTTAGGGAGGATTCAACTTTTTTACTTCCATTTCCTCAATGCAAAGGGGTTATTTCATTGCCAAACTCACAGAAATCAAAATTTTCCTTTACTCATTACTCCTGTCATGGTGTGTACTGACCAAGACAACACTCTTCTCACTTACCGCTAATAGGAATATAAATTGGCCCAACCACTCTACAAGGCATTTATTCACTTACCGATTATTTACTGAGTACTTCCCAAATAATAGGCTTGGCACTAGAAACTGGATTTGGCAATACTAGAAATATCAAGGGCTTTGAAAATGTCCTTACCTGGTAATTTCACCTCTAGGGGGCTATACCAAGAAAAATAGTATTAGCAGAGATCTGTGTAAATATATAACACACAAGAGATAAATATCTAACAATAAGGGCTAGACAAATCATGGCACAATCATTAGACTTTTGCAATGATTAAAAATCAATTATCAAAGAATATTTGCTAATGGGAAATGCTCTTGATATGCTAGTAAATGAAAGACAATATATGCATTTACATGGGCCTATGTTTTAAGAAAAACACCAAAAGGGAACACCAAGATATTAAAAGTGTGGTATCCAGGAAGTAGGGTGGTTCTTCACATTTTTATGATTTTCTGATTTTTAAAACTGTCTTTAATGAAAATACTTCACTTGGCATGATTAGGCAAAAAAAAAAGTCATACAACCAAGTTGCCTTGGTCAAAAAATAACACCTTTGTTTAGTGTTCCTTACAAGGGAAATGGAAAAATGAGAAATCAGATATTTGATGGAATAATTCCAGAAAATAACTTTCAATTTACTTTCCCTGTCTCTGGAAATTCTTGCCAGAAGCCACTTAGAATATAATGTGGTAAGCATTATAATTTTATTTTCATCTACCCAAATCAGTGCCTTGTCAGTGATCCTCTGAAGATACTGGTTTTAACAGGGCCCCTACACTTCTTTGGGGGGTGGAAGGGTGGCCAAACCCCAAACCTTAAGGCTGCCTACACATCCATTTGGTTTTGGAATAGCTCATGCTGAACTTGTGGAAACCAACCCAGAGCAAAGCATGTCTGAGCCAAATCAGCTTTGCTTTCTGTCTCAGGCTGGGTAAAGCTAATGAAGAATACAATGCCCTAGTTTTTGCCACATGCATGACTACTCAGTGCTAGCAGGGGGAAGATTCAGACTCTTCCATGTTGCCAAATGTTTAGAAGATCCACAGGTTGTTTATCTAACAATTTGACATTAGGCCAGCTGACTGAAAAGAATTGAGTTTGAGAGTGGGTATTTCTGGGTCTGGCAAATGCTCTACAAATCAAATCATTGAAGCATGTGAACAGTGGTTCCTAAGCACTATTATCTCCCAACTTAAAATTATTTTCTTTAAATATTCATGACCTCAATATGAAACAAAATTCAACTCACACTTACTTCCCTAACCTGTTACTATTTTCCACACCACAGGGGAATTTTGCTGGGGGTTTATAAAGAAGTCATTTGAACTAAATTATATTTAAAAGCCACCCTAAAAATTGTGGCCTACAAACTGATCTGATGCCCCCTACTAATCCTGTTCTATTTAAATATTACCAAGATTAAGTCTTGGGTTTCCAATGATTTTAAACTTAAATGTTTTCTTCTAGTGATCTTATTCCAGCCCATCATTTCTCTGAGAATTCTTATCTCTGCTGTGTTTGTAATCCAAATGAAGACAAGCTCAGAACAAGATAAAACATCCCGAATCCTGGAGATACTTGAATCCTGGAGATACTTGCGTGTAGCCCAAGAGTAATTCTACAACACTCCCTTTCTTCCCAGACAGAGCTAGTTTATACATTATGCCAACACATGTGGCATTCAGAGTGGCACAGCTGTTCAGTGACAGTCAGCTCTTAGTAGAGTATGTTTTAATATAAAAACCTAATAGATGAAATTTAATAGCAATTTTCTTTGGTAGCAAATTGGCCTCTGAATCATATTCTAGGAACATAAAAGAAAAATGACTAATAATTCAGTACAGAGTGAAAACCTGTGGTTACCTAAGAGGTACTGGTGTGCATTTAGCAATTTCTTTTTCTAGCTGAATAAACAAGTCAGGTCCACAAGACAAATGGTGTCTGTAGTGAGGCTTTCTCCACCTGCTACTCAAGGTTTGCTACTCAGAAAAAGCAATGAGTGACATTTCACCAATATGGAAATGTTTCTAATAGAATATAAAGATTTGTTAAGCAATTTTCCAGTACATTAGGTTGAAATTGCTTAAGATGGGTATGTCTTTCTATAATAAGATTTTTGCATAAACTGCAGCCTCACAGTGCCCCTACAGGAAAATGCTAGTACAATTTGCCTGTTTTAGTCAGGACTTTTGTACTGACAGGTGACCCGGTGCAATTAAATTCACCACCTCTCAATTATCTAAAAGAGGATTTTCTAATGTGAAGGTCATTTATATTTTAATTAGAAAAGAGGTATTCTAACAATTCACACAGGTGAAAATGCAAGCTAACCAGCTTTTCTTATAGCTGGCTTTTACAAAGTAGGAGTGGTGTGAAACTCTTGACTCTATATAAAAGTGACAAATCATCATTTACAGAACAGTATCCCTGCTTGCCTACTTCCTACTTCTCGATTCTAACTTCTCAATGATTTACAGAAACCAAAGAAAACTATAACATGTACGGAGCACTTAAAAAAAAAAAAGGAAATTCTGGTATAAATTTCTACCATTTAAACAGTAGAAAGCCAATGTGACATTCCCTACTTCCCCACCATATCAGACCTGTACTTCATTTTTAGAATAACCCTTTGCTAGATGTCCTCACAAATAACAGGAGGCAACAAGTATGTGTGGAAGCCACCAAACAGCATAGAAGAATTTGCTACAACTATAGTAGGGAGTAAGATCAGGCTTACTTTAATGAGAACACAGTAGACCCACAGGATGATAGAAAAAGTGCTTTGGAAGCACTGAGGCTCCCAGTTTAAATCCCACTTCTACCACACACTAGCTGCATACTCTTGGGTAGATCACATATTAATCTGTTTTCTTGCCTAAAAAATGGGATATGAAACTCACAAATGGCTCCAAGAATGTAGAAAATTGGTTTATGACAAATACTAGGGAAAATGACATCACACTATATTTGGACCTGTACTTCAAGACTGCCATGAAGTCCCAGGGAATGAATTTTGCAGGCAAAGGAAGTCTTAGCTTCAAGTCCTTATTTGTGCCTCCAACTGCCCACTCTTCTTTCAATGTTTCATCAGATTTTCAGCGTGTGCAATGTTTCACATATAAATAAGCCCTCTTCAGGTGGATCTGACTCATGAGACTAGAGCTGTCTTGCTTATCATATTGATTTTGATTTCCATCTTCACAAACTGGAGTATGGAGAACAATATTAAAGCCTTTTAATCTTCACTATATATGCATCACTGCCCTCTAGTGACTAGAAAAAAATATTACCAATACCCTTCTAGTTAAAAAAAAAAAAAAAAAAAAACCCTTGTTACTGATTATTAGCAGGAGGCAAAACCTTTTCCAGTAAATATGGGGACATCCAACCAATTACCTTTGATCTTATCTCCTTGACCAGAACATCTTGTTGTGCTCAGAGCCACCATCTACCACAGGCAGACTACCTGAATGTTCCTTCATAGATTCTTCTCTTAAAAAGGGCCGCAGATGACCAATTAGTACAAACACCGATCTCTATGATGGTTTTGTAATTTTTATTTATTTTTACAATAAGTGTGTATTATATATGCAATGGGAGATCATATTTTCAAGAGAGGGAGAAAATAATGTGCACTAAATTAGAAACTTTGCATTAATGACCAACAGAGAAAGGTTGACATCCTGAAAGATTGGCCTTTAATCTATGTATACAGTGACCCAGATAGCTTTCAAGTCAGAAAAATCTTTAGCTTCATTTAGAGGAGAGAATGAGAAGTAGTAATAGCTACTATTTACAAATCAGGTTTTGTGCTTATCTACCCATATTTAACAATGTTTGAAAGTGATGTTACCTCTGTTTTTATACACAACAGTGAGTAAGTAACTGGGTCCAAATCCACCTGCAAGTCCTTTTCAATAATAGGGAAGTCCATTTGAAAGGCAAGTGCCACTGAAGGTTGAGCAAGAAGACATCTTGTTGCAAACACAGCAAATTACAATCCACTCTAACAGAGACACCATTGAACAGGATTTAAGAATATTTGCTAGGTAGGTATTCAAAGATGATCCAGCTTCTCTTGTTGCCTTCAATTAAATGCTAGCTAGTTATCAATTCAGTGAGAAACTTTATTCTACACAGATATAGGTAGGTCTATGTTATCCAAACACAACCAGGTTTGAAATCCTAAAAGAACCGTTAGATAAATAACCTACTCATTTTTTTCCCCAATTAAAAAAAAAAAAAGACATTGAATATACTCAAGTCTATATGAAGCAGAGGGCCACCACCAGCTCCGCTCCCCCAACATGGCTTCTGGTTCTATCAGTTATTTCCTTGTGAAAAGCAGCAGTCCTTGCTCTCCTCACAAACTTAGTAACAGTAACATTGAAGGCTGAATTTGCATCCTTAGATACAGACTCAGGATTTTGGAGTTTCTGGGACCATAACTTTGACCCAGCCTTCCATAACAGTCTTTTTACTTTCTATTACAGAACATGAAACTGCAATAATAGCAATGAATCGCTTCAGTTTTTTCACTTCTGCAGATGCTAACACAACTTCTCCAACATATAAAGGTGCTGGAAAGTTAATTTCCTGGGAAAGAAATATACAGCCTGGTCCTGGCATTTTAGTACCAAGGAGAGCAGAAATAAGTCCATTAATCAACACGCCATGTACAACTGTCTTTCCAAACCTGGTGTGTTTTGCAAAATCTTCATCTAAATGCAAAGGGTTGACATCCCCCGTTAGTTCTGAGAAGGTAACCACGTCCCTCTGTGTGAAGGCCCTGCTGAGTTCAGCCCGGTCTCCAACTCTGATGTGCACGTGCTGGAAGTGCTGCTTGCTGAGACCTGGGTGCAGGCAGATAATCCTCTGAAGACCACGCCACCAAAGGTGATAACTGGAAATGACTGGGAACATCTTTAGCACCCCCAAATCCCACCAACAGGAGACGTTAGCTTGCTTCAGTCTTCAAGCATTTTGCAGGCATCAAAAAGTAGGAGACTTTTGATGTTTCCAACATTAAGGACTATTCAATCCAATACTAGCTCTCTACTATTACCAGACAATGCAAGGAGAAATGGAGAAACCTAAAAGAAAAGTTAACATTGAATATAAGGAGAAAACTACATTGAAACATAACACACCGTAGAAACATGCCCAATTTTATATGATAACCTAGATTGACTATTTTAGAGAACATCCTTAGAAGTAGCTTTAGATAAAACAACTGGTCACAGTAAGCTCAGAAAGAGTATTCCAATATGTATGGCACAAGGTATTAAGCAAAAAATTAAGAGACTTTACCATTAGAATTCTAAGTTTTCTCCCAAAACATGTCCCATATTCCATACAATCTAAAATCTAAGTGCTCTGTCTTAAGCAATGAAGTCCTAGGTTAGACCCCCACCCCACAAGTTGAATGATGTTAACTAACCTAGATTTATGCAAGCACAAAAATGGGGCACATATTAAAAAGCAGTTTTACCCACCATTCAGTCTCACTTGAAATCCATGAGGGAATACTTTTTACCTGAATTACTCTGAAAGCACACTTCTTGCCTTTATAGGATCCTAACAGGGTCAAAGAGCTCCACAATTTGACAAGACCACTGAGGAAAGATGAAGAAAGTATAAATCAAGCTATGCCCTTGCAACATCCCCCAAGTACCTTTGTGATTGTTCAGAAAGTTTTTCCAGAGACCCTAACTTTAAAAACATTAAAAATAAAAGCATAGTATGTTATGAAGAAGTTAAGTCTCAATTCAGACTGTTGCTAAAGCATCCAATTGAGTTAGCAACCATGATCAATTCAGAGAAGGTACAGCTTTAGCCAAATCACAAGTTCTCTAGAATATAAAATCCTAGTGGATGAATATTTATATTCTCCCAGCAGCTTCTAAAAGCTGCTTAGAGTTCACAATGACAAAACTCTTCTTATTCTAAGATATGAGTATTTTTGTTCTATTTCTCCAGTCACCTCTCTACTATTAATACCAGAAATGTTCCATTGTCTCATACCTGCTACATATTCTCAAGATGGCTGACAAGGTCTTCTCTTCATAGGTTAGGATGTCCAATGGTAAAGCAGCATCAACCTAAGTATGGAATCATACTATCAGAAGACTGATTATCACTGCTCTTAAGGTCCAAGTACCAATCCTGTCAAATGCTTTTGTATTTTGTTTTTTAAGTATTCTAGACCTGTTTGTTTCTCACTACTTCTGTCTGGAATTTTCTCCCTATACTGTAATTTCTCTATAATTCTCCTTCCAGTAATTTCTTCATATTGCTAAGGCTTCCTCACCCTTCAAAGCTTTCTTTCTCTGATTCTCAAAACTAGGCTCAATCCTTTGTTTCGCTCGTTCAGGTAAAGGTCTCCATTAAATCCTCAATCATAAATGTCCATCATTCTTACCACTGTATAACACGTTTCCTGCCAAAATAACCAAGACTATTACTCTATGACATACAAGCTATTTCTGTCTATTTACCGTTATAACCCCAGGTACCATGTTTTATTCCTGACAAACAGAAGATGTACAATTATTTTTTTCTTTAACATTTAAAAAATTTTTAATTACTTGAGATTGCAAACAAATGTACAGGGAGGTACCATGTACCCTTCATGCAGCCTCCTCCAATGTGAGCATTTTCATAATTACAGTATATTATCAACAAAGTCACTGAAATTGGTAAGAAATTTGTTCAGATTATACTGAATAGACACACATTCATATTTGTATACGTATTACTATATGTAATTCTATGCAATTTTATCACATAAGTTGTTTCATGTAGTTATCAGCACAATCAAGTGAAACAAACACAAGGTTCCTCTTTTACCTCTATATTGCTACCCCATCCCCTACTCTCTAAACCCCTAAGCCCAAGCAACCACTAACCTTTCTCCAGATGTTTTTTTCAATATTAATGTAATTTCACCAAGTATGTTATTTTATAGAAGTGACTTTTTCTTTTCTTTTTTATAAAGATGTATTTATTTATGCATGCAAGAACTGGGGTCTGGTGAGAGGATCGAGGGGTGATAGGTTTCACAGAGACTGTGAGGAGCAGAACAGGCCTTCTCACTGAAATATACTGCTGAAGAGAGCAGCATGCAAGACAGGAGAGATCTGCTCACCATCTGTGGATTAGCTCCCTTGCCAGGGCTCAAACTCAGGCTGTCAACAGTGATCACACTGAGACTTCACCCTCAGGCCACCCGGGAGGACCTTTTTGGCCCATTTTCTAATTAGGTTATTTGGCTCTTTATTATTAAGTTTTTAGAGCTCTTCACATAATGCAGGTATTAGTTGTTTGTCAGAGATATGGTTTGGGATTATTTTCTCCCAGTACCTTGTTTTTTTATACTCTGAACCAAGTCTCCTGTGGCATAAAAAAATTTCATTTTGATGAGTTGTTTAGCAGATTTTGATTTGACGAAATGTATGAAGCAGAAAATAATTTCCTGAAAACCCTCTTTGTTCTTTCAAATTTCTGCTTGCTTTCAAATGAATGTTAAAAACAGAAGTATTCACAGTGCTGGCCTATGAAAAAATAAGGAGCTTAATCAGAATGTAAGTCAACAATGTCACTAAGTACACTGCTCAGCTCTTGTGTTTTTTGATATACTTTCTCAGTAAGGGAAGAGGTGTGCTGTTTTACATTCTGACAAACCAGAAATTTTCACAATTGGCAAAAAGCAGTTTGCAGGTTACCAGTCTAAACCATACTTTGAGAAGTCTAGTAGAGCAAACATTTAAAGAATTTCCTTGTCAGGCCCTCCCTGGTGGTACAAAGGGCTAAAGCACAGCACTGTGTGTGATCCCTGACATGGCGCAGCAGACCTCTCCTGTCTCATCCACTGCTCCCCTCAGCAGTGTACTTCATCAATCTGCCTGTTTTCCCCACTCTGACTCTGGTGAATCCTCTTACTGCCCCTGCACCTCTGGCCTGTATCCCCAGTTCTGTGTGCACAAATAGATAAATCTTTAAAAAAAAAAAAAATTACCTTCTCAAATAAGAAAGCATCTGAGAACCTAACAAAAATTCATTTGCAAGGTCTGCCCCTGCAATTTCAAATAAAATTTTTAGCATTTTAAGATCTTAGGCATGTTTAATCTTCCAGATGATCCCATACCTCTCCAAACAGGTCTTTCAGGGCTGAAATAAGCAGCTGTTTAAACTGTGCAGCATTTAGTACAACTCCACAATCCTGAAATTCTCTGTTAAAAAAGAAAAACCAGAGAAAAAACACATTCTTAAATTTGCTGCTCCTAAGAATCATAAGAAAGCCATTTAAAACGGAACTCAGGAGACTGAACTTACAGACAGACTTTCAGGTAGTGGTGCTCAGAGGGATTTTTGTAAACTACTCTTTCATATGTGGTAGCTGGAGCTGGCATCTTTTCCAATGCTAATGACGCCTACAGTAAGTACAAGAGAGCAAAATGAAAGCAATGTCACACTTTTTAAATGAGACTTGACCAATTTGAGTTTTAAGGACCTCCTACTACAGTTATTCATCGAATCCTGGTCAAACTAAAGTTTTACACCTTATAGCCACAAAGGCGGTTTCTGTATTTTCATAAGCCAAATCACTGTACTCTTCTATTACCATATCCCAACAAAGGCCTTTCCTTACTGAATAGAGAGCTATGCGCTAGAAGCTTCACATGCCTTAGGTCATTGGCTTCAAACTGATAGGTGGTCCCTAGGAAAAGGGGAAGTTCCAGGTTCCCTGCCCCACCCAGAAGGAGGGTGGAGCTGAGAAGCCAAAAGGAGAAAATGAGAAGGAATATGGGGGAGAAGGAAGCAGGATGGAGGGCCACAAAGAAGCCTGAGGAAGTCATATGGAGCAGGGAGCTGGACTGGTTTTTTGGCCCTGGACTGGTTGAAAGAGATGTGGGTGAGAGACCTGTGGGAAGGTTGACTATGCAGTCTTTAATATTGATTTTGCCTGTGCTCTTTTCCTCCCACACTTGTCTGGCCATTTCTGACCCTTTTCTATGGGTCCCTGCCAGAAGGTACTTTAGGCTTATGGCGGGCTTTCAGGCCTTGCTTTGGACCAGTCCCTTTTGGGTTGACTTTTTGCCCAGGAGGGGATGGGTAACTTCAGGTATTTGATTTAGAAATTATATTCTTTGTTTTCCATATTATATACTCACTGTATTAAAATCCCTTTTCATTAAAGTCTTGTATGTTTTGTCTTGATGCAGCAGATGGCAGAACCCATTTAGAGCAGGTAGGTTTGGGGGTTCAGTGGTGCCCCTCTCTCCCTGCCCTGTAACACCATGAAATAAAAAATATTATTATTCTCATTTTTAAGAGAACACTGTGGTTTCAAAAGGAGGTACCCTTACTTCCACCGGCACCCCTTCCCAATCTAGTCTCCACAGCAGCACAGCAAGCTTACTAAAATCTACTCCAGCAATACTGTTTCTCTGTTCAAACTTTGTATCTTCCATTTCACTAAGACCAAAAATAAATATTATTTTTAAAGATTATTCATTTATGCATAGAGAACTGGGGTACAGGCCAGAGAGTTGTAGGGATGGTAAGAAGCTTCACCAGAGGCAGATAGGGTGCAGAACAGGCAACTTGACAAAGTATACTGTTGGGGAGCAGCCGGCAGGTCAGAAGAGGTCTGCTGCTCCATGTGGGTCAACTCCGGGGCTGGGGATGGAACCTGCACTGAAGTAGCTTCTGCTTGCTTGCAGTGCTGCGATTTAACCAGTTTCACCACCAGGGAGGGTTCCAAAATAAATATCTTAAAGTTGACAGAAAAAACCCTGTGTGTGCCGCTTCCTCCACCACTCACCTCAAGTCCTACATCGCTATCCCCTACACCACACGTGCCTAGCGGGTCTTCCTCACACACAGGTTTCCCTCCTGCCTGTAGGCCTCACCCGTTTTTTCCACATAATGAGGAAGCTCCTGGCTGAGTCCCTGAACTCCCTAAGCTATCTGCTCAAATCTCACCCCTCGATTTGGCCCAGTGTCTAACCGGTCACACACCTCCCTTCCACGTATGTCCCTGCGGCACTTTCCCTCATAGCATTTACCACCTTCTAACACATGCATGTAGCTAACTTATTCTTTACTTGTACTTCACTAGCCTGCCCCCAAAGCCCGAACACTACACGAGAAACGCGAAAACTTCTGTTCATCGCTGTTTCCCAAGACCTAAAAGCGTGCGATGCACACAGCATGCACTCAACATATAATTCGCGGGCTAAATCTCAATTAAAAAAAAACCCAAAAAACAAAAAAAAACCACAAAACTCAATTCCCTACTGTTAGATCAAGTTAAAACTGTTCCGACTAACCTCCGCCACTCACTCAGCACCAACCATTCGCTCCGCACTCCTGCGCCCGCAGTGTGCGCAGCCACGAAGTAACCGAGACCGAAATAGCGTCGTATGTGTGTACCCGGGAGGTTCGCCGCCAGGCTTCGCTTAGCTTCCGCGCCCGCCTCCCGTGGGCGTCCCGGGCCGGAGCTCGATAACACCACGCAGCACCCGCAGCCTCGCTCCCCTCTGCGCAAGCGCAAGACTGGGCGCGTGCGTCCAAGCGTCACCAGCACCGCCCACAGGACCCGCGCCTGGGAAACAGCTGCTTGTCCCTGTGCTTCCACCTACCGGCTCTCGACCGGATTAGCCTGGCGCCCCTCCTATCTGCTGTTACTTGCACGCATCCACCAACGTTTGGGAAACTCGGGGGCTGTTTATGTTTGGCTTCTGTCTAGCCTGCTCTCGTATGTGTGACGTTGCTACGGATATGACGTAACCGCGCGGCGTCCTCCTAAGGACCCAGGTGTCATTATCTGAGCTCACGCCTGGGTTGGCACGAGCTCCCAGGTGCCCACTCGGGAAACAACCGTGCATGCAAATGCCTGCATAGAGAATGGACTCCGGGTCTGTTTGTCCGGAAGCTCACTTCATAATCACTTGCAAAATTATTTATACAACTTTATGTCTGACATCCCTTTCTGCTTAGCATCTTCTAAGTCAAGCACTCCGAAAGGAGAGTTCTCAATGTTATTTTTGGTTCCCAGCACAGAGTAGGTGATCTGTCTGGATTGACGTAAAAAGTTTCAGCTGACCCTGTTCCCAAATGTAAGCCAGGTTTCATCCGTGTGTGTTTATTCAGTAAGTACTTGCTGAGCTCCCGTTTTGTTCTAGGTATGGGAACTCTGGAGAACACCATTCTTGGGCTGCATAATGGTTTTTAATAATAACAGCTCGTATTTAGCAGATGCTCACTTTGTGCAGACACAAGGCAAAAACTACATCTTAGCTCCTGGAACTTACAAGCCTAAAGTAGCTATTAATATCATCAGGAAACACCCATATAATGGAAAAAAAATGTCCTAAACCAATCTTCTGGTAAACCCATCCTACTAGGCAAGAAAAAACAAAGTAGGATCCTCCTTTATGCACAAGGGACTAAGTCTTCACACTCCAAAGCTGTGGGCTGTCACTGAAGCATGAGTTTGATTCCTTGCCAGGAAAGTGACCCAGATGATGCAGTAGACCGCTCCCTTCCCTAGTGTATTTCAGTAGAGCTCCTGTTCTCCTCCCTGCTCTGTCCCTGGGGAATCCTCTCACCACCCCCACCACCCCCATGCCTCTGGCCTGTACCCCAGTTCTTGTATACATAAATAAATAAAAATAAATCTTTTTTTAAAAAAGAAGAAGAACACTGATTGTATTTCCAGAGTATGGGGGAGAGATGTGAGTATCAGCAAAATCAATGGCCCCTTCCAGGGAGGACATGACACCAGTTCACATTATTAAAAAGACTGGAATGTGGCCCTCCTTGGTGGCACAGCGAGTTAAAGCACAGCACTAAGAAGCTAAAACCACTTCTGCATGAGTTAGATCCCCGCCTGCCCTGGAGGTGACCACATGGTGCGGCAGACCTCTCCTGACCCGCCCTGCCCACTGCTCCCCTTGTACTTGTCAGTGGGCCTGTTCTGCGCCCCACTCTGTCTCTGGTGAATCCTCTCACTGCCCCTGCATCTCTGGCCTGTACCCCAGTTCTGTATGCACAAATAAATAAATCTTTAACAACAACAACAAAAAAGACTGTCATGTGAGGAGGGCAGGCTGTTCTTTTAGGTTCCCTTAGCAGGATGGTGCTGGAATCCTGTTTTCTGCTTAGCATAAGTTGGGCAGTGAGAAATGCTCAGCTATTTGCTGGTTGAACTAGGACACCTTCCTCAGCAAGGATCAGAGATGTGGCCTCAGCAGATCTGTGCCAAAGCTGCCAGATCCAAGTAAGATCTGTGCCAATAGGACACTGAGTTCAGCTGGAAGCTTTTGGGCAAGAGAACTCCAGCTAAACAATGCTATAAAAGCATTGTTTTTGTAAGATGCCTTCAATCACAAACCAAGAAATTCTACTTGTTATCTATTTGACCTTAGACAAGATTCTTTGTGGCTCCATATCTGAGTTTCCCCTGGATGTGTAATGGGCATTGTCACACATACTGAGAGCTTGATGATACATGGAAAACACTTAAAATAGCACCTGGCACATTTTTATATACATCTATACATTTTATATACATCTAGATGTATAAGATACAGCTGGTCTGATGTATCTTATAATCTCCCAGTACTTTCTGGGAACCTCCTTTGGACAAAGCAACAAGCATGTTCTCTGGGATGAGAACCCTTGTTGCTGAATGGGGGCCTCCTACCCATTGGCACAGAAATAAAAAAACACGCCACCACTTTTTGAGAAAACAACCAATTTAATAAAAGCTCACCTGGCAGAAGACTGGAGGCAAGCCTCTCAAATTAGTCTCCTCAAGGATGGCCCCACAGGGGTAAGACCTATGGGAGCCAGTCAACTTTCTGAACAAAAAAAATACTAAAAATGCAAGTATAACTGGTTGCTTCCTGCTGAACTATGATGTACCTCAAATTTGGGTCCAGAACTAACAAAACTGAGCACCCCTCTATTGTTCATTTAACCATGAGCCATGCACCTTGATTCCATGGCTAATTTTTCTGGCTGGACAAGGAAAGTTCACCTTAAGGAGAGAGAACACTTTGCCTACTCTCTAAAACACAATTGTCAACTTAGGAAAAACAGGGGTATTTCTTACCTCATTGTTTCTCCCAAGTCTGCCCAGCTGTCCTTACAAGATAAGCAGAAACAGGAAGACACCATCACAACCACTCAACAGACCCCAGTGGAAGACCCAACAGCACCACCAAACTAATGTGCCCTTTTACCTGTCTCTCCCGGTGTTCTCTGCCCTGGACAAGAAGCCCAGGCTGGTGGCAAGCTAGGGCCCAACCACTGCTTAGCTCTCATCCTCTTTTAATACCTGCCAGGAGGATTCATCTTCAGCAGCCCTGACTCCAAGCAGTGGGATCAAAAGTCCACTTGTGATTGTGAAACTTCCATTGTTGTTTCAGAAGCTTCTGGCAATCTTTCAGACAGTGCTAAGATGAACGACCCTTTTCTTCTTTCCAAGACTGTGTTTTATGGCACACACCACAGGGCTGGGGAGAGGGGGTTGGCACACATGGCAGTTAGTTGGCAGTAACCAGAAGCTTTTTTACCATCACAAAGGTGAGCACAAGGGGGAGCTGTGCTTTTTGTCTTCATGTCTTCATAGCACTGGGGCGGGGCCAGATGTGTGCAGCCAAAGGAGAGACTTACAAATTCACTTTAAAGGAACATGGAAAAACAAAAACAAAAACTCCCAGCAAGCTAACCACAGATCTGAGGCAAAAAGCATAGGAGGGGGAGGAAAAAGGATCAATATAAGGGAAGGAAGAGCACCAGGGACTATGTGATGGATCTTGTGTGTTATAGTGGTGGGAGAACAAAGGCAGAGGGCAGAAGTCAAATACTACCCAAAAATTAACAAAGAAGTAAGGAAAGAAACAAATATAAACATATAAAATCTACTTTATAGATTTATCATGCGCTGCTCCTGAATTTCCTGGTTGCTTCCCCATCAGCTCCCAGTCATCAGTCCTTCAGGGAGAGGGACAAAAAACACCCTGCCTGAATGTTCCCACTGGGGAGGCAGCACAGAGGCCCCTTTGGAGGTTTGGAGGTGATCTTTAGCCTTTGTCAGACCCAGGGCATAATAATTCCTGCACCCGTAGGGGTTTGATCAGAGGTGCTTACCCAAGTCAGGGCTTCTTCAGGACGGTAAGGAAACTCACCTGTTAGACCCACCAAGACTAACCCACTCTCTGAGAATTTACTAAGCTCAGTGTTCTCAGTGAATATAGGAGTTAGAACTTAGCAGCATGGCTAAAATCTGTTTTCTAGTTCATTGATTTTTTTCTCTCATCTGTGTTATTTCCTCTAATTTTTTCTAGCTCGATTATCCTTGTCCAGCTTCCTTAGATGGAAACGATAAAGTTCATCACACTTTATTTTGAGAACTACTTGGCTACAGACTATAAACATTTGAAAGACATTTAAAGCTCCTGCAGATACTAGGTAAATCCGACAGAAGAGCCTCAAATGAAATAGGAGTCATTTTAACCTTTTGTTTTTGAAATACAATTTTGAATGAATTTAAACTATTACATAATTTCTTAACCTGAAGCTAATAATTCATCCAAGCAAGTTCTTCCAAGCCTGTAAAACAAGCTTTATTTTAAAGACATACATGTGCCAACATTGTACTTGATTAGATGCTTAGAAATAGAAATCATAGGCCCTCCCTGGTGGCATAAGGGGTTAGGATGCAGCACTGCAAGCTAGCCGCAGCCTCTCCAGTGTGAGTTCGATCTCCAGCTGCCCCTCCAGCAGCCACCTACCCAGGTGACCCACATGGCACAGCAGACCTCTCCTGTCTCTCCCGCTGCTCCCCTCTGCAGTGTACTTTGTCTATTTGCCTGTTCTGCTCCCCTACTGTCTCTGGTGACTCCTTTCACCATCTCGGACCTGTACCCCAGTATTCTGTATGCATAAATAAATAAATCTTAAAAAAAGAAATAGAAACCATCTGCATATTGTTGACCTAGACTTACTGAATTTATTTCACGTCATATTGTGGTCACTTTTACAGCTGTTAGACTTATTTTCAATCACATTACTGTTCACAGAATTCACAGAATTCATTAACAAGCTAGTATTTTACATCCAAGGGTTTTCAGTAGCACAGCAAATAGAAAAGAGGCCACAAGGTGCTTGAGCATGGAGCCCTGGTCTGATATTAGATAGCTTTCTAGAACATTATTGCTTTAGTGGTCTTATTGTTAAAAATAATAAATTATTCCCAGGAAACTCACCCTGCCGGGTGTTCTTTGTACTGAGACAGTTCTGGATTCACTGGACACAAACCTGACATGTAGGGGCTGATCAAACGCCCACCTGTGTTCTCTGCTGTTCTGGTAGCTCCAACGACTGGCTAGAACATAGCCCCTCCGTGCCTGTAAATACTTTCCAGTTTGCTAGCTTCCTTCCTGGAGTTACAGCTGATGGGCTGTATTCACATAAGGATCTCACGTAAAACTTAAATAAGACACAAACAGTAGGAGCTCAGCGAAAGGGGACTACTGTTCCTAAGACAGCCAGTGACCATGCTGGGGAGGACATCTAAAGCAACAGAAACAACTCGCATCTCAGTCTGTGACAGATGTCTTAAAGAAAATGTCCATGGTGGTCATGGTCCAAGGTGATAGCTTTACAATATGAACTTAAAGACATCTCGGTAGAATTCATGGCTGGGTTTTCTTACACTGTTTCATGTGAGTTTACATTTTGTGAAAAACATCTTGGAGATTTCCTCGTGGCCCCTGAAGCTCTGTGGAGACCAGGGGTAGGGGACTGATTTGCTCAGGGACGCTGGCGCTCTGGCTGCATCTGGGGCAGGATCCCTGAGAAGTTGTGGTTGCATCAGATTGGGGGGTGGGAGCGGATGCGTGTGCAGAGTGCAGGCTGCAGGCTGCAGCTGGGGCCTCAGTCCAGCTTCTTGTTGTTGTCTGTGTTGTGCACAGCAGCTAAGAAGTCAACGATGAGCTTGGCTGTCTTCCTGGGTCTCTCCATCACTACCGAGTGCCCACAGTTTTCCAGAAGTTCTACCTGGCAGTTGGCAACTGATCTGGCCAGAGTATCCGCCCCAGATACATCAAGCACCTGCAGGACAAAAAAGGAAATGACAATAGATGGAAAAGACTCAGACACCCAGGTCAAAACTCTTACCTTGAATTTTAGGACCAAGTCATTCCTGTGTTGGGATTTATGGCTCTCTGATGGAACAGCCCGCCTGCTAGGAGCTGTGCAGCTGCCAGCACTAGTGAGAGGGTCTGTTCTAGTGGGGGTACCAGACAGGTTTTGAAGTCTGTGAATAACTAGGAATGCTTTTCCAGCATGAAAGCTACCCCCTTTATAAAGCAGATACTTTTTAAATAACTCATTGGAATTCATCTGGGTGACCTTGCTATTCTATTTGATATAACCCCCCCACCCCCAACACCCTCCTCTGGCATTGGATTTACATTCAAATCCCCTCTCTTTAATCACTTTCCCTTTCAACTCATCCCAGACAAGTGTGCCCCTCCTCTCCATCCTTAACTGCAAAAACAAAACCCCAGTAAAGAGTGCTGTCTGCTTTTAAACTTTAGTCTTATCTACCCAGATCATCAAAAACAAGATTTCCCACCTAGCTGGAAATAGAGGTGAGGCTTGAGGGAAATGCAGAGCACCCAAGGGAACACTATTGGGAAGCCTAACAAAAGAGGAACACACTGATGACTGATGGGATCCCTTTGCCTCATCGCCCATGCACAGCTAAGGCTGCTGTGGTAAATAAGCAGAACTAAAATCCAGCTACTGTGGAAAAATACCCAGAGGAACTGCAGGTGGAATCAACAGATCAAAGCATGGAAACTCCCAACAGCGTATCCATCCTGTACAAAGGTCAGAAACCACATGCATGCACAAAAACACAATGCTTCTAGCTTTGACATTCTTAGGCTGACATTCTTAGGCATTCCTCAAGGCCACCCAGAGGTCCAGAAACAGCTAACGGGTTCCCTGAGATATGCATATCTGTGGGAGCCATGTCAGCTGTTTCTTGTGCAGGGCATACCCACAGGTGTATGTCTGTGAAGCAAGGCACTGGCACTGGGCATGAAATTCAAGCAGGCTCTAAGAAGCTCAGTAATTAACCTGAACACTATATGAACGCAGCATTTAAAAAGATAAACACCAAATGCAAAAGATCTGTGGCAAGCCAACTATCAAAATTATAAATAGGCCAAGGTCTGAATCTGCCTGACCTACCACCTGGCCCAGCTTCCAGCCTGCCAGGTGTTAGAGTAATAGGTGGGCAATCAGCTGCTGAAGGGTATAAGCAGGTCTGACTGGGTTGCTGCTGTAGCATCAGGGCCTACGTAGTGTCACCACACAATAGATGCTCAGTGCAGATCTGTTAGCTGGCTGACAAGTGCAGACAGTTGGTAGATTGGTCCCTTCACTACTGAGCATGTTCTCTTGCTTTCTCACTTGATCATTCACTCACAGCATGGTCTCCTGCATGCGAGGTACTGTGCTGGCAAGAAGGGACAGAAAGGGTCATAGACTTTATATATATCTCCACAAGTCCTTCCGATTCTGGTGGACTAAAGTGAGGAGATCTTTTGAACTTATGGGCACTTCTCAGGAATGGTCTCCAGTTTCAGTTTTACAGGTTGTATACTGCTCAAACCCAGGGGACAGTGTTCACACAGCAGCACAACAATGCACAAGATTCCCCCTACTGTTATGCAGTAACAGTCAAAAGGAGGTCAAGGGCCCTCCCTGGTGGCACAGCGGGTTAAAGTACAGCACTGAGAAGCTAAAGTCACTTCAGCACAAGTTTGATCTCCGCCCCCAGAAGTGATCCACATGGCATGGCAGATCTCTCCTGAACTGCCTGCTGCTCCCCTCAGCAGTGTACTTCATCAGTCAGCCTGTTCTGCTCCCCACTCTGTCTCTGGTGAATCCTCTCACCACCCCTGCACCTCTCTGGCCTATATTCCAGCTCTGTATGCATTTTTTATAATAGTTTATTTTTACATCATTTTGTATATATATTTCATCTCAATTGTAATCCCCGTGGGTTTCCCATCACTGAGTCACCCATGTGCCATCACCACAGTCCTGTGCACTTCCCTCCCCCGACTAAATAAATAAATCTTTTAAAAAAAGGAGGTCAAAGGAGGCTGAATTCAGCTTGGCATGGTTGGGGCTGTATGACCAAATAATGATGACAATGCAGGACAAAAGCCAATAGCTTAGAAAACAAAAGATCATGAAATAAGGAGCCCTGAAATTTCTTTGGCCCTTGCCCTGAGGGCAGTGTACAGGACACAGAAAGGATCTGATTGTATTTATAGTAGGCCCATGGAGTTTGTTTCCGGAACAAAATGAACCTCTTGAGGAAAGGGATCACAGGCGAAGGGCCTGGGTAAGAAATAGTTTATATTTTAACAGCTGGAGAAGATCACCTTAAGATATTCTCTCACTTGAGTCTCACAATCACTCTAAGTAGTAGCTGAGAAACTGCAACATGGAACAAATGCATGACTTGCTCAAGGTCACAGGTTGATAAAGGCAAAGGCAGGGCTGGGACACAGACTTTCAGACTCCAAGGCCATGCTCTCACTTCTGCAGTCTTTCTAAAAGGTGACATGTTCTCGCCTCTCGCCTCTTGTGTCTGAGAGACCGCAATCACTTTTGGAATTTTGAGAATGAAAAAGACATGATTGTTCTGGCTCTTGATTTCTGATTGAATAGCTTGCTGTGGCCTGGCCTGAGTCCCACTTCTCCACTCAGGCACACACAAGGCTCTTTCAGAGTCTCGGCTGCTGCAGAAGGGAACACCAGAGCCCTTCGCTTCTCTAAGTTCACGTTCCTGTGCTGTGTGGCTGGGCCACCCCTGGCTGATTTGAGATGACAATGATTCAGCACCCAGACGCAAGCACGCCTCTGTCCCCACATAACATGGCACAGGCCTGGCTTCCCCTCCCCAGTCTCTTCTCTTGGACCATCACACACAGTTGTGGGCCTCTGTGGTTCTAGTTGGACTTTCCGCCTCCACGTTCATCAACACACACTGTCGGGGGTGTGGGTTACTCAGGCAGGGCTTACAAAGGTGGCTTTCACCTCGGGGTCCTTAGAGGAACTGTCAAAACGGGGACAGCTTCTCTAATTTCCTTTCTACACAATATTCAGTAGCACCAGACTCCTGGATACCCGTTATCAAACACTGTAATTCTGTCTGCGGGCCTTCTAAAGGCTCCGTTTCATGTGACCTCCTCCTGCTTTAATCTTTAGAAGAACTTTCAGTACTGTACTATTTCTAAAGACAAATCACAAACAAAAAAGGAGTTCTGGATGCAAATAAGGATCTCTACTGAGGTCCTGTTATAGGTTGATTGTGCCCCCCATCCATACCCAAATTCACATTTTGAAGTCCTAAGCCCCTGTACTTCAAAAATGACTTTATTTGGAATAGGTCATTGCAGATATAACTAGTTCAGAGGAGGTAGAACAGTTGACTATGGTTAACACTGCTGTATTATAGAAAACTTTTTTTCTTTTTCTTTATACCTATAGAGGATAGAAATTAAGTAAACTTATTGTGGTGATCATTTTATAATATATTTATGTGAAATCACTATGCTGTACACCTGAAGACTCACATAGTACTGTATGTCAGTTTTATCTCAATAAAAAGTAGGGGGGAAAGGCATGATTATAATGGGATAGGGTGGGTCCCTAATTCAATGTGACTGGCATCCTTACCAAAAGGGGAAAATGAAACATGGATACACACAGGCATAGAGAGAGAGCCACAGAAGAGGAAGGCAGAAATCAAGGTGATGTATCTATCAGCCAAGAACACCAGATTGCCAGCAAGCTACCAGAAGTGAGAGGAAAGGCATGGAGTAGGTTCTCTCACAGCTCCTCGAAAGAACCAACATACTGGCACCTAGATCTTGCCTTCCATCCTCCAGCACTGTGAGATGATCAACTTCTATTATTAAAGTCACTCAGTGTGGCACTGTTACAACAGCCCTAGCAAACCAGCACACAGCCATCGGACAAGAGCTATTAAAACTTAAAAAGGCATATGCCCTTTGACCCAAGAATTTCATGCTAAGAATTTATCCTTCAGCCCCTCTCACACTTCACAATGATGCTCACTCGGGTGGGGTTCAGGTGCAAAGAATGGCCTTTCAGAGGTTGCAGAGACCAGAGTTATTGCTCTGAACTCATAGAATGAGGCCTCCCAGAAACACTAGCATCTGATTCTTCCTGAAGTAGGAAGCCAAGCAGGGAGACGGTTCCCTCACTTTTCCTCAGAGGCCGGTGTGACTGGCACAGGTGACCCCAGGGCCGCACAGCATACCTGGTCTTGTTTCCCCCAGATGATCTGTGTCGGGACCTTGATCTTGTCCATATTCTGATGAAGGGCATATCTTGACTTCTCACTGACGATTTCCAAAAACACTTTTTAGGAAAAGAAAACAAAATGAGTGCATGCTGGGTTGTGCCTGTGGATGCCACTTAATTAGAGTCTGGGGCTGTCATCAAGTCCAGGCCTCCACTTTCTCTCTTCAGGGACCCCGGAAGAAAAAAGCCTCAGAAATTCAGGAGATAAAATCCAGTCACCCATAAACTTCACTTTTCATAAGCACAACACTTAAATGAAAGCAGAGCTACTCACACTTGCGGTAGAAGTCGTTGTGCGGGATGCGGACGTCAACAAGACCTTGCAGGATCTAAGGAAGCAAGAGATTTATTTCTTCAGGCTTCATGTGGCACTGGTACAATGATGGAAATAAAGTCTAGACATTTGACACTGTCAAGGTTTTTAGGTCCTTTGAATTCCCATTGTGGTATGCAATGTAATAGGGAGTTAGGGTCATAAAAGTCTTTGATCTTTTAATTAGGGAAGAACTAGAGTACATAAAGCCAAAGGTCACTATAGCATGTTAAAAAAACAAACAAACAAAAAAAACCACCCAAGATGGCCTAAGAGCTACTTTGTCTTGAGAGATTCTTTGCATAGCCTAAGACACAATCAGGATGAAAATAACACCAAGTAATTGTTCAGTAATATCCAAATCTAGAACAAAGCCTATTAAAAAAATTAAACTAAGAAACATTACAAAAAGCAAACAGACAGCCCACTAATTGGGAAAACATTTTCTCACACAAAAGTAGTGATAAAGGACTGATCAAAAAAATATAGAGAGAACTGATGAAACTCAACAAAAATAAAGTAAACAACCCCATTAAAAAATGGGCAGAAGAGCTAAAAAGA